TGTGTGCTTTGTTGAGTAAAAGTGAATCAACACATAGTATATCCTGGTTCAGAGATAGTGTAATCCTCCTACGTCCAGTCCCACCCTCTTTCAGATGGATTTCCACTAAAGTATTAATCCCAACACTTAGTGTCAATCTAGCATTTACAACACTTAGGCCAAGATTGAAGGTGTTTCACAATGAGTATAGCACCACTCAAAGTTACTCAGTCTTTTAGATTTTTCTCAAATGATCCAGTGGGGATCAAAGGGTGCTCTATCTATCTAACCACACTTTAGGATCCAAACAACTGTTCTCCTAAGTGTTTACAACAATTTGTGAAATGTTACAAGAAAGTTCTAACCTCCAACTAGGAACTAAACTTCTACGATCTATCAATGAAGATTTGTGACGTTGAAGTTTAGTGAAGCATGAGTCCAAGCAGAGAGTAAAGTATAGATTCACACTTTCTCTTTTGCTCGATAGCTCGTGAATGCCGAATGGAAGTATTTCTCTACTTAGGATGCTCAAGCTTGGTTAGAAACTTTCGTTTCAGCCTATATTTATAGGCAACTCTGGTTGATTAATATCATCCGTTGGTTAGGATGGATTAATCTTATGCGTTGAAGGTCTGGCAAAGATGAATTGTACATTCGTCTTCTTTTGCTGGAGCTGATCTCTTTGTCTTCAGTAATTCAGCCGTTGAAGCTTCACTCCAAAAGCGTCCCATGTTGTAGGTCAGTGTACATATTTTGCATTAAATGCCTATCAGTTCTGTCTTCAATTATGTACGTGATTTTCGTACATGTTTTGACCTAAATTATTTTGTGACAGGATTAATTTTTTTGTCAAATAAAATTATACTGGTAGGACTTAAATATCCTATTTAAGGTAAATAAAAAGTTACCTTATTGCATTTTAACTTCCCAACATAATTTTATTAGTCTCAAAAATTGTACAATTATTTTGTTACTTTTGAACACTAAAACGCAAATAAATAAGACATAATGTACTAAGTGCAATGTATAGTGGCATCATCAAAATCTATCACAATTGGGTACTAACATGAAAGACCAGAAAGCCTTTGAATCTCCGAAGAGGTTTGACGAGAAAGTTACGGTCGCCTATGTTCGAGAAAGGTAGAGCTTCTGACCACAAAGAAACCCATCCGCACGCAGGCATCGGGCGAAAAGCTGGAGCCCGAAATTAAGAGAGAAGGTAGAGCGTCTGACGAAGAATGGCGAAGCAATAATGGAAGAGCGAAACGAAAGAGATATTATCTCACTCGATGAATCCCATCCGCACTTTGCAATAGGAATAAACAGGAGCAAGCATTCTTCCCAGCCACAGGAAAATCAAAAGTGAGGGAAGAAGACGGTAACGGGTGTTTAGTTTCCTTGCGGTAAAATGAAGTTTCCGTGGAGCACTGTACACACAGAAATAGGCCAACTAACTTCCTTAGAGCTTTTAATTGTATAGTAGGATATATTAAATATATAAATATACACACATATAAAAGTAGGCTCGCGAGCCGGCTCGTGAGCCTAAAATTAGTAGGCTCATTTATGGCTCGACTGCTTAACGAACCGGTTCGAGCTCGAGCTCGAATTTGACTGAACTCGATTCGAGCTTTGATCGAGCAGCTCACGAGCAGCTCACGAGCGACTTGGCTCATTTGCACCCCTACTTACAACAATTAATTATTTAACTATAGATATTTTTGAACTTCATCGAGTTTTACCCACACCTTTTAAATATGGTTTCACTTGTTTTACAGTTTTTTAAATTTACAAATGTATACACAATCATATTCTTTCCGCCTATTAACAGTTAATATTAAATAAGTAAAAATGATTTTAAAATATTAGGTATTACGAAAACATTTTTGTAAGACAAAAAATGACCAGTTTTCAGTTTTTTCAAAAATGTGTCGGATCTTTATTCAATTAATATACTTTTGTTTTAATTCTAATTCATATTGCCGCCTTGGAACGGTCGAGATGCTAGGGTTTGGAAGACTTATCAGTTATTTAATTTTTTATGGTTTTACTTTCACATTTTTTATGTTGCTCTGTTTTTTATTGATGTATTTAGTTCTTGGTCTACAAATATGATTGACAAATCTGCTAAATATTATGTCGATGGAAGGATCTATATGTCACGCCTCGGACCTACCCGGACACGTCAACAACACGCCGTACATTACAAATAGTCAATCGCAGTCCAACACATCCATACTATACAAGGCTTCTGAAATATCATTCACACGTAGTGCATCCATAAACAAACATAATGTAAAATATTCATTAAAGCAGCGGAAACAATATTACAAGTGTTCAAGCCACACTTGGCAAACTTAGGCATACAAGCCCCCAAATAATTATTCAGAAAAAAATCATATCCATGAGCATTTATATTATTGTTTTTAAAACAGAAACGGAGGAAGCACGCACCACGTCTTCTCTCCTAGATCTTTCCGAAGCAACGAGCGGCGGTAGCAACCTTCAAGTTCTACCTGAAACTGTGAGGTGGCTTCCCCCGTGAAGGGGGAGTCAATACTTTGAAGCATTTGAAAAATACAATGACAACTACACTGAATATAATCAATGTTTCAATTTCTGAGACCCTCAATCTAGGGTGATATTATATTATAGGCCATAACCCTCAGTTACCCCGTTTTAAAAATATACTTACTTTATATAAAGTCAAGCATTCGACCCGTGGGCCCATATTCATTTAGAATTCGCCATATCTATTCCCCGTGACCCCAAGTCACGACATCTCATATGATTCATCATGCCACGACATCATAGCAAGGGCTCGGCCCAACTACATTTCTATGATATCCGCTAGCCAAAATTCAACACATCACTATTGCATAGCAATGGCTCGGCCCAACTACATTTCTATGCAATCTTACAATTTCATGGCAAGGGCTCGGCCCAACTACGTTTCCATGATATTCACTAATGCATGGCAAGGGCTCGGCCCAATTACGTTTCCATGTACTTCACAATTACATGACAAAGGCTTGGCCCAACTATGTTTCCATGTAATTCTAGAGTCCGGCTCTAATTCATCATTCTAGTCCGATTCTCAAACAAATCCTATGCTTAGAATCCATTCACTTAGAGTAACCTTTAAGGCTTACCCCTAACATACCTTAGAGCTCATACCATTCATCCTTAAAGTATCTCTTAAAACTACTTAAGGCATCACTATTCATATTCCAATACCTTAGGATTAATTCCATTATTATTCATGTAAATCTCCCGACTAGTATTTCAATACTAATCGGATAATCCTAGAACAACCAAGTTCATAATTCATAGTCCAATGATTCATTTCCAATGACTTTCCAATCCAAATATAATTTAATCTCAATATTAAAAATATCCCTTTTATCCATTCATGAATTCTTTACATGAAGTAAAGCTATATTTTATCACAAATTTTGATAGTAAATTCCTACTATCATGCCATCATATTCATAACACATAATCATACACAATTTCTCTAAATTTGTATATCATGCTTCATTTACTCATATACAATAGTATTTTCATTTAGGCATTATTAATCATTAATAATCCATGAAAATCACATTTAGTACTTTAGGTAATCTTATGAAATTAACCCAACAATTATAAGCAATATAGTCAGTCATCCTCATCTTATGGAGTGCTTAACTACCGGCCTTTGTGAAGCCCTTCGATCAATCCCCGTTTTTGGTTGTTTGAACTGAAAATCCTAGACAGCAGCTAAAAGCCGCCCGGCGTTCGTGTTTTGCAGGTTCGAGCAGTTCACTTTGAATGCGCGGTTTCTGGTGATTTCGACTCCTATCGATTCACCAACTCTTCTAAGTGAAATATCACCACTTTACATCAATATTCTACACTTTTAAATGTGTAGAACTTCATGTTTAATCCACTATATGATTCCTTAAAAATCATACAAGAATATTACTAGTTAAGAGAGTAGGTAGAGTTCTTACCTTGAACTCAAACTATATCTTGTTGGATTTCTTCTCTCTTGCTTCCTCCAAGCTAGAACTATGTGAAGAGCTTCTCTAGAGCCTCTCACCTTTTGCTTTGGTCGAATGGTTGAGAATTAAGGAGGGATATCTCTTCTCAATCCATTTGGAAGATATTTGCAAGAGTAAGACAAATGAGGGGTGTAGGTTTTGTCTCCAATCACTCTCTTGAGCACATGTCCGCTCCTCCCATGTCTAATTGTCTCAAAATCATTATTTTGAGACTTTAAGTCATGTGGGAAAAGACCCACTTGGGTGTAGGAAGTTTTCCCGGATTATTATTGCTATTTCTGGCAGGTTGGGTCAAAATAACATTTGGTTTGCCCAAACGATATCTCGACCTCGATAGACATTTTATTGGGCTTCTATAATTATTATGATGACCCAACTAATTATTTGGTAGTCCATTCTCAGTATTATGGACTCGATAAATAATTTAATTAATCATTCATTAATTAAATATATCATTCTTCTACACGAAATCATTCGCTAGAAAAAATTCAAGTACATGCTGAATTTTAAATTCAAGTACATCCGGGTGCGGTGTCACACTATATGTGCTGTGTCACATCTGTTTGGTGGTTAGCGGTTTGTATTGCTCTTTCAGGGGTGATCGTCTCTGAGTATAGCCGTAGGGTTGATAATGATAATTGGTTTGGGATAATTGTTGTTGGTGTTGGTCTTTTGAGTTTGTTGTAACGATTCCTTTCCTAGCTATGATTTTAATATATATCGCTTTGTTTTGATGATAAAAAAATCTAATTCCTACCCAACTACCTACCCTGCCTCTGTCTAGTCTAGCCTTCACAGGAAGAGTCAACTGAAAAAGTCACTAGTACAGTCCCTGGAAAGTTTGAAAAATGTGTGTTGTACACAAAATGTGTACACCTTTTGTGTACACTCGTCTTTCTCAAACAGACAAGTTATCCGTCCACAGATAACTCTACATAAGCTTTAGTCCTCTGAGTTTCCTAAAAGTGATAATTTTGATTATTCAATTATTATAATAGTACATTTTTAGTCCTCCACTCATTGTGTCAAAACTAAAATTATCAATGTGATATTACTTAGAGAACTAAATCCGGAAAACTTTGAAATTGACAAGTGCCTCTTCACAATAATTCTTTCACCGATACAATTGGCAAAATTCTTACATAAACTCTATGAAGGATGATGGCCCACAACTAACATTTTACTCCATCAGGGCGCCACCACAAGACTTAGGACCTAACTGGTCGTCCCTACCAGTGTGCTCATATCCATATGTGGTCCACTACAAAAAGTAGCATGAAATCGTATTCACCGTACACGTGGCACCATCCCACTGCCCCATTCAATAAATAGCATGCAAATGCCAACCGTTTGATTACTTGACCAATTCCCAACTCCAGCTCTTTCCTATCCTTTCTGCCCTGTGCCCTCCTCAATTTTAGGCCCTTTCTTCTCGCATTTAATATTAACCGCATGTCGGCGATTCAAGAACGCGGCGGCGTTGGCGACGGCGTTGGCGACGGCGTTTCTGGGCCGAGCTCCAGCACCACCAGTCCTAGAAGTAGCAGCAGCGGCCAACACGGGGCTCTGAGCAAAGAGCCGGTTCGATCCATTTTGAAAGCGGAGCAGGTTGAGTCCGGCCCGGAAATCATTTCGGGTCACGCTAATAATCATAGGGGATTCGTTCCTTTCGTTCACAGACCTATCCTGACGCCGATCACTCAACGTCCGACGCCGGTATCTAACACCGCCCCGCGGCGGTTCTCCACGAAGGACCGCCACACGAAAGTGGAAGGGCGTGGGAGGAGGATCCGTATACCCGCCACATGCGCCGCCCGGCTCTTCCAGCTGACCCGGGAGCTCGGACACAAGTCCGACGGCGAAACAGTCGAGTGGTTGATCGAGCAATCCGATCAGGCGAAAATCAAAGCTACCGGCACTGAAACAGTCCCGGCCGTCCAGATGCCCGTCGGTGGATTTCAGAAAGTGCCGACCACATCGCCGGCCACCGACAAAGAGAAAGAGGACGAGAAAGACCAGCAAGCACCAAAGCGACAAAGGATATCAGCCAAATCGGAATTTGTAGAAGCGACGAGAGTAATTAATCACAGTCTTGAAAACCCACCACGAATACCGACTCCGGCGAAGCTACCCTACGCCGCGCCACCGGTATGGGCGGTGAATAACGCGAGGAGGATGATGGTATCCTCAAACGCCTTCTGGGTGATCCCCTTGATGAACCCGCCGCCGTCTTTACACCTGCTCAGGCCGGATTTCAACATCCCCGCCCGGCCGAGTTCGTCACCACCGGTCGCACGGCCATTAATGAACGGCGGCGGCATGGTACCAAGGGCCAACTTTCCGTTCACAGTCCGCCATAACGAGATGAGATCGGATTCCATGGCAGCCACAGAATCAAGGCCCACAGTGGCCAATATGCCCAACAAAACCCCGCCAACTGTGAATATAGCCGCCGGAGGCGGCAGAAGCAGTGGCGGCGGTGATGGGATCAGGGCACCAAAGCTTAGAGATTTTTCTCTGGAAATTTAATTATGAACGGAAAGAAGTGCAATTTCTTGGAGCGACTGGGTGGAAACCGAGTCCAAGCTAAATACTGCAATTCAAAAGCATCAAACACTTCAAAGATATAATCTTCCTGATTATAGACGGATTTCTGATTCCATTATCATCAGTTCCTCATCATAAGTCATAACGTATTCGTTCGTCTGTAAATTCAATTGTTCCTGTCTCTTCAGCTGTGTTTTGGCTTTCCGAAAAAAAAAAAAAGATCACACCCCATCGTGAATTGTTCCTGTCTCTTCAAGGGCCCAGAACCCCGACCGGAAGATACATTGTTAGGATGTAAATTGTGCTCTGTCTCCAGTAATTGCAGAGGTCTTATACATTTTTTAGCATAGTAATCTCTTATCACAGTTGTCGGGATTCGAACTCAGTACCTAACTCTTATGGCACTCCCTCGCTACACCAGTTTAGCTACGCCTACAGGTTGTTTTGGCACTCCCTTGTTTTGGCTTTCCACAATCCAAAAATTGGAATCGGCGGCCTCAAGCGTCACACACCTCGACACGGCTCAAAATGTGGCTTTCCGCATTAGCAAATAGGGCTGGGCAAAATGATTAGGTTTGATTGAATCGAACTGAAAATTGGTGGTTTGGTTTGGTTTGATTTTACTTAAGTAAATCTTTTGGTAACAATTTTCTGAAACACAATGGCTTAGTTTGATTTGATTTAAAACCTGATAGAGTATATAGACTCGGCCACTTAGCCGTCTCTCGTGGTCATCTTTATTTGATGGCTTGGACTTCTTATAGGTCTCTCGGCCACACATCTCGGTCACTTTATTTGATGACCCGGACATCATATTATGGGCGGTCACTCGACCTATCTCTTAGTCATCTTTATTTGATGACTATGACTATATATCATGCAGAGCTACGCACATATGAGGAACGATCTTGGCCATCCCCTTAGCAGATGCCGACGGTTGCAGTTCCACACCCAGGCCAAAGGGTTCACCCCTTTTGCTTCATTTTGGGGGCATCCGGTGTACTCTTTTTCCCTCATTGGGATTTTTTTCCCACAGGGTTTTTTTCTAATGAGATTTTTAACGAGGCATCTCCCCATTATGTTATGGATCAAAAGGCGTCGACCCTCGTCCCCCTATTGAAGACATCATGAGACATGCACTACTCTACTCCTCTTCACCTCACTACATTCACCTCAAGGAGTGAGGGATTGGAAGAGCGGGGGACTTAGCGCCTCCGTTAACCAAAGAAGCAGGAAATTCAATTTTTTTCACGAAGTTTACTCACCAGAAAACGACAGATCAGCACACAGTTCTACTTCCTTCCGCCTCGAGTACTCTCGACTCAGGGAGTGGGGGGCTCTTGATAAAGTATATAGGCTCAGACCCCCGGGTCTCACTACTATTAGGCCTGGACAGCGGCCCACACACGCTTATCGAATGTCTTTTGTATTATTGTACTATTCATATATCATTTGTATGTACTAGATTAGTTTTTTATTTAGTCGGGCCTATCGGGCCCATATTAGCGGCCCGACCCATCGTTTCTCTATTTATACTCCCAAAGGGAGCTCTTGTAAACCTAAGTTTCAATTCATTATTCATTCATCTTCTCCACATTTCTTGAGCTCAACTCTCCATTTTAATATATGTTTGGATCCCAATAATCCAACAATGGTGCTTCATTGAGAGTTTTGAGCAAAATCAAGTTAGATTCCTCTCAAAATATCCAAAAATTCATCCAAAATACAAAAAGTCAGTCAAAAACAGATCTGAAAATGTCAAAAACAAAAAAAGAAGGAAAAAAAGAAACGAACGGCATATGGGATTTCTCGGACAGAGGCCAGAGATGTCTTCGCCGGAAAGGTCACCGCCGTCCTGGTCGCCGCCTTACGCCAGTGCCGGAAGCGTGCTACCATCCCAGGTCCCGCCACGTGCCATCCAGTGTAGGTTTGTAGGACACTGTACCAGGTATGAACTCCTCCGTCACAACCTTGCCAGCGCCGCGCCTGGTCGCTCCGTCACCGCACTGGTCTCCACCGCTGCTCAAACGTCGGAACCTAAACACTGTTACTATCTCCATAGTCATTTGACTGAGTTGTTGGAGCTTGTTCTTGAGCATCCACCATTAATGGCCAGTAAAAGCTCTAAGGGTGACAGATCCGAACTCCATTGCTGACTCAACTTGAAGAGTGTGTCGGTCGCCGCTTGAGGAAGAACTTTGTTGGGGCTGCAGGGGACCTAGTGATCTCGCTTCCGGTCGCTTTCGCTCTGTCGCGCCTGAGGAACGTGCCACTCTCCGACTGAGAAAGCTTTGCCTGGTTCACCCCGAGGGAGCTTCGCCGTTGGCTGCTTGAGAGGGCTTCTCCATTAGTGCTCCCACTGGCTACAGTAGCGGTGAGCTACTCTTGGTCGCAAAAGAGGCTGCTTGCAGATGTGTAAGAGCCGCAGGTTATCAGGAGCTAGGTCAAGTTAATTGGCGGGCTGTCCAATAAGGAATCAAAGATTCAATCTCTACACAGGTCCCGTTATCTCAAAGGCCCAAATAAGAGCTAAGTGCCCAATACTCCTATTTATGCACTTAAAATATTTATTAAATGATAGTAGTATAATTATTACTATAATTAATTATATTATTTCTACCACCATTATGGTGGGTTAAAATCCCCCGAGGTGGTGAAGACCATTATGGCGGATTAAAATTTCACGAGGTTGCTAATAATGCATTATTATTGGCATTATTATTATCACCACCATTATTATATGAAGATAGACAAATATTATCTTCCCAACGTACGCCTTTCTTGTTGAAGATAATGAAGATTTTGATTTCAAGAAGGCTTGTGCGTTAGAATGTTAGAATGTTTTTGTCTGAGCACTGGGTTTTCAAAGTTTCAGCAAAGTTGTCTATTGATGTTCTTCAAGTAGTATCTTTTATACTGGGGTTGTCTTCCCGTTGGAGGAGGAGGACAACTGCATTAAATGCGCGAATAGTTGACTTGACCAGTAGGACCCGGTAAAGTTGGCGGGTTACTATTTTGGGATAAAGTTATCTTGAAATATCCCGGAATGTCGGCCAATCATCAGCTTTTACTCTTCAGGGTACGGGGTGCATTAAATGTGCATTTAATGCGCGTACTGTAGCTTTTTCGTTGAAGTCTTCTAGCCGTTGCAGGAATCTTTAGATGGTTTCACCGACTGTAGTAGTCCCATGAAAATTCTCTAAGTGTCAGGCCTTCTGGTGTCTTCAGCAGAGGATCTGCCAGAGAAGGTCTTGAGCAACTCTGTTGGAATAAGCTATCAGAGGGTCCCGAGGTCTTCTGTCAATAGGCGAACCAACAAAGAGTTTTGACAGAGATGCCCAACAGAGAACCAGGAGGGTTTCTGTCTGCGTACAACTAGCAGAGACCCAAAGGTCTTCTGAGAAACAACAGAGAGCCAAGGTCTTCTGTCTGAATGAGAATCAACAGAGAGCCAAGGTCTTCTGTCTGGACAAAGTCTATCAGAGATCTTCTGTCACGAGGTCTTCTGTCAGTCGACTATTCTAAGAAACTTTACAAGGAAAATTTCTAATACAATAAATCTAAAGAGGGGGTACTCTAAAATCCTAATTACTATAGCATCATCAAAATCTAAATACAATTATTCCTTACAGACATCAAATAACATGTTGTAGAGACCCAACAAAATCATGCCTTTTGCAATTTCATCCCTCTCACGCCATGAAGCGTGGCGTTCAATACTTTTAGGATCCGATTCAACAACGGGGGGACACACCGTCATAATTACCGAAAGCAAGCCCTTGGTGATTAACCAAATTTTCATGCATTGTTGCCGACGCTTGAAAAATTGCCTAGAAAATTTTTCCGACTCCCGGTTAGATCAACCCTGTGCGAGCCCGTAGCAACATATTCAGATGTGTCTCCACAATCAGTCACAGACACATAATTAACATTATTTTGAGGGATATCATTCACATCATTCTCAACAACAACATTTTCGGAAATGACAGCATTTTCCAAGTTTGCCATTTTTGGATTTTCCAAAACTCGAGAAAAAATATCTTTCTTCAAGATTGTTAGATAAGTGTTATTAAAGTGCGAGTTTAACCAGACAAAAATCCCGAGTTTAAACAAATCACCAGACAAACCACCAAATGCAGGAACAGATAAAATAATAATAATAACAATAGTTAGAACAATTAAAAATGAACAAATAGAAAGAATAAGAAAACTTATCGCAGGATCGCCCGTAAAACGGACTGGCCTTGAAGAAAGATAGCCCCCGTATCCCGATAGCTATTCGGACGGGTCTGGCTAGCTCGCTCCCAAGATAATCCTACCACGTTTCAGATTCGTTGCTACCTTGACTGAAACCTTCGACCGTTGCCCAACTTGCCAATATTTAGATATGAGTCCGAGAAAAAATTATGGACTACGGATGTAAAAATACGAATTGTTCTCCCAAGGCATATGAAAAGTAAACGAAAGAGCTTTTAAGAGTAAAGGTACACTTTTCTTTGGTAGTGGAGAGAAAAGAAAAAGGGAAAATGGAGATGATGGATAGTGTACCCGGGGGTAGCTTATCCGAGGGGTTATTGCGGAGAATAACTAGAGAGAAGTCAGAGCAAATAAGTAAGAGAGAGAGTGTATATTCGATATGTATTAAGCGTGGTTTACAATGGGGGAAAGGGGTGCTATTTATAGTAGTAATAAATGCTAGATAAGGACACGTGTCAGTTTTCTGGTGGTCGAGGGGTCACCTCGACCGGGGTGGCACTGACACTCGCATGTGGTCGCATTAAATGCGGTGGTTGGATGTGACGTTTGTACTTGGTACGGTGATCTAGGCGCATGTGAAGAGGATATTCTGTCGAGGTGGATGCCTTCGGCTGAAGGGTGCTGGGCCGAAGGCTCTTCTAACCGAGGGCTCCTACCTGCCGAGGGCTGCAGGCGCCGAAGGCTTGGTTTTCAAGCCTTGTTCTCCTGTGATGCCTCTTCTAACCGAGGGCTCCTACCTGCCGAGGGCTGCAGGTGCCGAAGGCTTGGTTTTCAAGCCTTGTTCTCCTGTGATGCCTCTTCTAACCGAGGGCTCCTACCTGCCGAGGGCTGCAGTTGCCGAAGGCTTGGTTTTCAAGCCTTGTTCTCTTGTGATGTTTCTGAGCTCGATTCCGTCACTGGTAGCCTTCGTCCATGGGGCCGAAGGCACCCCTTTGCGTATTGTGGGCTGCTTAGAGCTCCATATTTTTGGGCTTGGCCCGTTTGGGTCTGTTGGGCCTGATTGTAGTAGAGGAAGTATGTGGGCCGGGGGTCCCTGAGCCATATACTCCATCAGGAGTCCCCCACTCCTTTTGCCGAAAGGTACTTGAGGGAAAAGGAGTAGTTGTGGTGATTTTCCCAAAGGCTTCCCTGTTCTGTTGGGTGCCTCATTTTCTCAATTCTCCCATATGTCGAGGGCTGAGAGCTTCCTGAAGGGAGTGTAAGTGTGTTGCTCTTATGTGTTTCTTTGTTGTAGTTTGTAAAGTAATGAGAGATCTGCATTTGTGTGCTTTGCCGAGTGCATTTGTTGACTGAAGGCTTTGTGTGGCCAAAGGCATCATGTGGCCGGAGGCATCATGTGGCCGAAGGCATTGTGTGGCCGGAGGCATTCTGTAAGCCGAAAGCATCATGTCGAGGGGAGTAGATTGCCGTTGTGATCTTGCCTCAGCTTGTTGTAGCTGAGAAATAGAAAATTTTTAACATTTGCGTGTTTTGCCGAGGGGAGTCCTCCAGTCCCCCACTCCTTTTGCCGAGAGTTTCTCGAGAGAAATAGGAGTAGAGTGATGCATGCCTTTAGCAGGAGCCGCCGAGGGGTGACGTCTTTTGTTCCACAATGGGGAGATGCCTCGTTAAAAACCTCATTAGGAAAAAACCCTATGGGAAAAAATCCTAATGAGGGAAAAAGAGTACACCGGATGCCCTCAGAATGAAGCAAAAGGAGTGCACCCTTCGGCCTTGATTGTTGAGCGGCGGTTGTATCCGTCTGCTGAGGGGATATCCAAGATCAGCCTTAGATCCTGCATGAAAAAGCTAAGGAGCTTGTAAGGACCCCCCCCCCCCCCCCCCCCCCCCCCCCGTTATCAAATAAAGGTGACGGAGGGGTTCAAGGCCAGGTGGGCTTGTGTTAGAGCCCCTGGCATCAAATACAGATGCCGGAGGGATGGAGACCGAGGGGTCTTCGTGATGGCCCCCGACATCAAATAAAGATGTCGGAGGGATGAAGACCGAGGGACCTGTATGATAGCTCCTGGCATCACATAAAGATGCCGGAGGGCTGAAGGCCGATGGCCTGTGTGATGGCCCTCGACATCAAATAAAGATGTCGGAGGGATGAAGGCCGATGGGCCTGTATGATAGCCTCTGGCATCAAATAAAGATGCCGGAGGGATGAAGGCCGAGGGACCTGTGTGATTGCCCCCGACATCAAATGAAGATGCCGGAGGGATGAAGGCCGATGGGCCTGTATGATAGCCCTCGACATCAAATAAAGATGTCGGAGGGATGAAGGCCGAGGGGCCTGTGTGATGGCCCTCGACATCAAATAAAGATGCCGGAGGGATGAAGGCCGATGGGCTTGT